GACAGGCAGGAGGAGAACTAGGACAGAAGAGGGTCATGAAAACCTAGAGAGGAGAGTGTCCAGGAGGAGACAGGTGAGCAACATGGGAGAGGCTCCCAGATGATGATATGGGGGTGAGGGAGTGTGTTATGCCTCCAGCCAGATCTCTCCGTCTGGTTATCCTCATCCTACCCAAAAAAATGAGATTATTGTAATATAACCTGTTCTTGATGAGGCCCTGTTGCTCCTCCAGGATCCCTGTTCCCACTTCTTAGATGTCTCCTAGTAGTTTTTAATAGTCATTAAATTACTAGTTTTTAAATAATTAGTAGAATGATAATGAGTCATTAATCATTAATAGCAATTAAATTAATAGTTTTCATAATTAGTGCACTGATAGTCATTGATAGTTTTGAATAGTCATTAAAGTTAGACCCTTTAATGACAGGGTCTAGAATTTGCCAGGAATCAAAGTCAGGCTCACTGGCTTGTAGTTTATAGGCTCCTCTTTCTTTCCTCTTTTGAAAGCTGGGATAGCCATTGCCCTTTCTCAGTTCTTTGGCACCCCTCATGTTGTTTACAGCCTTTTTGAGTTCCCTGAAAATGACCCAAGCAATCACCTCTCCCATGACTTTCAGTAGCCTAGTGAATGAGGGCCACTCATGCAGCAGTTTGGAGGCAGGGATTTGGGTGATTTTCATTTTCCACAGAGGCTTTATCAGCTTTTTCTGCTCATTTGCTACTCTTGGCATAAAAATCCTCTCCAATTGAGTGGTTATATGGTAAATCAGAGTTCATACTAGAAAGGGTGGAAGAAACAACCCACGAAAACAAAACAAAACAAAACAGACTTAATGTATCCAAACAGTAAAATGACGTTTTAAAACCAACTGGAGATAGGAAGAAAGCTGAGATTCTCCTGTCCTAGAAAAGGGGGTTGAGAGGACAACTCCAGTGACATTTCCCAGCTTTCCCTTTTTGCACAGGAAACATCCCATCTTTACCTATTTTAGGAATAATCTCTCATTTTAAGGGGTTTTTAGTGTAGTTACTGGTTGGGCAGTTACCCTTCCTTCCAGATTTGTATTTTGGGGTTTTTGAGCACTGTAATTGATTGATGGGACCAAGAGAGAGAAAAGGGAAATAGGGGAGAGAATCTGGCTGATGCTGGGTTCACTTCAGATGTGTTCTCAGGGGAAGAAGCCTATCTTTCATGGCCTTGGCTGGACATCTTGGGATCTCTGACTAGCACAGATGGTCATGAGCTCATTTATCTAAAGGACAACACCGCTGGTTTGTTCCTGGCCTGAATTTCTGATTGAACACTTTAACTCATGTACCATTCTCCAGTCTTTCATGCATACAGTAGGCCCAGCTAAGTGGTCCTTCCTCTGTGAGAATGATGGGCATGTGAGGAGAGGGAAAATTCCCCACTAAGAGATTGGTCTCCTCCTGACTTCTTTCTCCTTCTTCAGTTCTGGCTTCTCAGCGCTTTGCTCTTCCCCAAGAAAGAAGAATTTCCCAGGAAAAAAGGGAATGACTTCTGTGCTCCTACCAGCCAGATCTCAGGTGAGTTAGGATATTTTCCCTCTCATGAAATGCCTTCATTTTTCTCAAAGTGTGGAGCCTTCTCTTTACCTTGTCTTCAGCCAAGTTGCATCCAGGGTCCTGAACCTCGGTTTTTGTCCTTTGAAGACTTTGGCGATTCTAACAGATGATAGAGTCTAGAGATCTTTAGAGTCGAAAAGAATAGTCTAATGCCCTAATTTAATAGATGAGGAAGCTGAGACCCCTCAGGGTGAAGACAGATGACAGATGAATCGTCTTACTCACGTTCACCTGTGACAACCTGTGTCTACATTTTGTTATGCTGCCCCACTTACCCAGGGTCTTTATTCTGACTGCCCCTTTGGACTAATATTGGTTTGTTCAACCTAATGTATAGCCAGTGTTGAGCCTAAAACCTAATTCCTATCTTCAGACAGTCTACAGAGACAGCAAGACATACTTACCAGAAGTAGCTTTTTAAAGTTTTGCTACATTATGCAAACCCTCATGTTACTATCATTTGAATCCTCTCTACCGTGCAGTTCCAGAAAACGTACAGGAGAAACGAGATAAATGAGTGATTCTCGCTGGTAATGTTTTGTAGTTAAAGCATTGTAAAACCTTGGTATTTCCTGTTTGTCAGAAGTAAGGATGAGGACACATATTACAAATTAGTAGCAATATTGTACAGTGTTCAGTGATGTAGAGGTGGAAGGGACATTCTGTGTCATTTCTGTGGTCTGAGTGCCTCATTTTATAGATGAGGAAGCATGTCCAGAGAGGTTGTGATTTAGCAAAGGTCACACAGAGAGTAATGGGTAGAGCTCGTATTTGAACCCAGGCTGTCCTACCACACATCCATCACTTTCTATAGCCATGTGGTTATTGATCCTATTTTTGTTACCTTTTAAAGTTGTTTTTATTCACTTAGCTGTTGTAATTGTGTATATTTTTTCATTATGCCCTAATCACTCTGTATCACTTCTTACAGCTCTTTCTCTATTTGTTTGAAATCTTCATATTTGTCAGTCCTTATAGCATACTCCTCAGTCTTTTGGAACAGAGTTGGGGCGGGGGGGACTCTGTAGATATAGACATTGCACGTGAGCTTTTTCCTGTTGTCAATAAGTAGCTTAGGATATAAAACCTAATGAATTGTAGGAACAGCTAGCTTGGGCAGAGGGTATAAACAGCTTTGTAACCTTTCTTGTGGAATTCCAAAGGATTTTGTGACATAGTTAGACCACCCTGCCTCTCCAGGACCAGGGAATGTTTGCCTGTGTTTTCACATCCCACAGACATTGAGTTTTTCTCTCTTTGACGATTTGACGTGCGTGAATTGAAATGACAGAGTTTGCATTTGTCTGGTTACAAACTCGTGCCCTAATCCTTTGACCCAGTGCCCCTCTTTCTACCCCTGTATCCTGAGGGGTTCAGAGGCAGAAAGAACTGGCTCTGTCTACCCTAGTGTTCATATGGCCCTTCTTTGTGCCAGAAAGAGCTGAAGGCAATATGAGTTCTCATCACTTGAGAAATGAATAAATCATGGTGTTTCAATGTACAGGAAGCTTGTGTCACAAGCTGTGAAGAGCATGAGGACTTCAGAGGAATGTTGGAAGATCTGTGTGAGTAACAGAATTTGTAAGTTGGAAGAGATGTTCCCGTGTAGTCCCACCCATGCACCAGTTAGATGGTGAACTCCTGGAGAAGAGGACCTTTTTTTTTTTTTTTTTTTTTTTGTTTGTGTCCTGAGCACTTAAGCATAGTGGCTGGCACATAGTAGATGCTTAATAAATGCTTGCTGACTGGACTGGATGAAAGGAGCGCCCACTATAACATATCTGAGCAGTGATTGTCCAGCTTCTATTCTAAGACTTTAAAGAGGGGTAACAACCCCCTACAACTCAGTGCAGCCCATTCTTCTTTTATATGGCTCCAATTGTTAGGACATTTTTCTTGATTTGAATCCTAATATACTTACATCCATTGCACCTTATTTTTCCCTCTTGGGAGAAACAGTACAAGACTGATTCTTCTTGCAGAGTACCAGCCTGAAAATTTTTGCTGTTGTTCAAGTCATTTTTCAGTCATGTCTGACTCTTTTCGTCCCCATTTGGGGTTTTCTTGGCAAAGATACTGGAGTGGTTTGCCATTTCCTTCTCCTGCTCATTTTTATAGATGAGGAACACAGAGTTAAGTGACTTGCCCAGGGTCACACAGCTAGTAAGTGTCTGAGGCCAGATTTGAACTCATAAAGATGAGTTTTCCTGACTCCAGGCCCAGCACTCTGTCCACTGCATCACCTAGCTGTTCAGTGAGTGACTAATGCACACGCTAACTAGAAGTTGACTCTACAGGTGTTTGACCAATCCTAGAAGAGAGTCACCTGGTCTTTTCTATCTGAGAGAGTTGGAAATTATCTACAAATCATCTTATAAGCCCATTGTTATAGTGCACCCATCCCCTCAACTACAAATGTCCCATCAGGCTTGGTGGCTGGAACTGCTGCTCTCTTCCAGGCCCAATGACTTGGAGCCATCTTCCAAGGGTAATATTAAGGCTTTGGGGTCCCCTGCGTCTCAGGGCTTCCAGAGCATCTAGACAAGCTGCATCTCTCGTTGAAGAGATAGGCAAGTAGTTCTGGCTTGTCTACCAGTACTGGTGGCAAGAATGCCATGAAGCAGCTGAGACAGCATTGTCCAGCCCCTGGCAGTGGTCAAAGACTACCTAGTAGAGACAAACCCCTGCTTATGACCGTAGGCCGCTCCTTGCCCTTTAGACCCTTTCACCTATTTTGATAGCATTTAGGAGCAGAACCCACCCCCTGGCTGACCCCCTTTTTCAGTCTGCTTCTCTCTTGCCTGACCTTTTCCCATCCTGTGACCTACAGTGCTGCCAAGATGGGATGGGAGAACCTGGATGGGGCTTCTTTGCCTCCCTTCATAGCCTTTTAGCCAGTGGTCTTGCTAATCTTCTCTGTATTGTTCCAATTTTAGTATATGTGCTTCCAAAGCGAGCACAATAGCCAGTGGTCTTTATGAGACCTTGGCATGCCAAGTCAACATTTTTGTACCTGAAGCCCTGAATCCTCAGATGAGAAAAGAGGTTGTAAATCTGTTAAAAAGAAAGTGTCCTTCTGGAGCTTGGCATTAGATGAAATGTGGGTACATTAGTCTACCAAGCTATGACGATATTTGGTACATTTGTAAACCTTGAAGCCCATTGTAAGTATGTGATTGGCAGTTTTTCCAGTTACCATCACCGGGCTCTCAGTTTTACCCTGATGTGGTTTTTGGGGTGTTGTGTGCTGGGCCAGCCTTCGACCAGTGCCCTGGTAGTTTATTCAGAATGGATGGGCATCCAGGATTCAGCTGAGTGACGTGCCCATAGGTTCCACCAGCCAAGCATCAGAGAGGATGCCTGAACTTTCTCAAGGCAGTTTTGTACTCAGATGACCAGCAGGTGATGTCAGTAGCCTGAGCCTTTCATCCCTGAGCCAACCAGTTCTCTAGGTTGGTCTCAATGCCTTTTAAGGAAAAACTCGCCTGACTTGGGTGGGGGCAAGGGTTAGGAAATTGCTCCTGTGGCAGGGGTGTTTGCAAGCATGACTCACTGTGAGAGCTCATTTGTAAGCCTGACTTTGAATAGGAAACTTTTCTGCAATATTGAGTCTAGTGTAAAGTGATGTATCCAATAAGTAATTTCTCCAGAAATATTAAAATTCTGCTTAATGCTTTGAGAAACAGCGCCTTTCCATTCTGCCAACTTCACGTCTTCCTCATACTCCCCATGAGGGCTGGTCCCCAAGTGAGCAGGTGTCTTGTTTGCTGTTTCAGGTACCACTGACATTCCAAGATGTGGCTGTGGACTTCACCTGGGAGGAA